GTAGTTATACTGGTAAACTTTCCAATTCGGAGAATTTTGATCTGATATTATTCTTCTGGTAGTAGGAATTTTCTTCTTTTAAATAATACTGATGACAAATCATGTACAAATTATTACGATTTCTACAGATCACGTTGTTTATTGTTTACCGTAATTTGAAGCAGAACAACCTGCAAAGCGATCCAATACTAAATGGAAGTATAGAAATCACTACCTTGCCGAATTAAGGCTAGTCATGCTAGACCGCATTTACTCTGTTTTTTACTCACTGTTGCTCACAGCTTTCAACATTTGCCACGAGGTTAACCTTTAACACACTTTACTGTGTTCTGATTGGCGCGCACTCTGACGTCTAATGCTGGCTAAGTTTTATTTTCCATTGGGTTTTCCATGTGACATTCGGTAATTTTACAACCAACGGACGTTAATTCTCCTTTATATTTATTATTTATCTTACTAAATCAAGATTATATCAAATATTATTTGATGAACGACCTTTACACATGTGTGTATTGCCATTGAGGACATCGTTTTTTGACATTTTAAATGAGGTAAAATAATTGTAAATGAAAAATAAGCTAGGCCTAGGCTATAATTTAAAAAAATAATACAGCAGTACAAACAAGTTCCTGTCGTGGATAGCGAGTGGAAGAGGAGACTCCCATGAAGTCAAGTGTACGTTTTTCTTATTGAAAAACAGTTCCATACTTTAAATTAACAGTCTAAACTCGTGTTTGCCATTCACAAATTATCAAAAAATACATTGTTTATTCCAATAAGCTACAGCAGTCTTTCTGCACATACAAATAAACAACATGCTTTTGCTTCATAGGTTTGCTTCGCGTAGCCTTGCTTAGATTGTTTATATCAGGCTACGATGTATCTACGAAGTCTGCGCGCAGGTAAAAGTGCAATATTTCATGACGGTACTGTATTTATTTTCATTTTTTTCCCCGAATTTCAATTTCAGAATTGTGGGTCAAAGTTGTGTATTAAGGCTAGGCCTACATGACCAATGTAATTTGCAGTATTTTTACAATCAAAATGTATACTATTTTTTAGCATTTACAAAAATCTACAGAAATATATAGGCCTATGTACTGTATGGCAAAAAGTGACAGAAATATATTATTGTTAACATGCAACTTGCTATTCATGCGCTTAGCCTTAGAAACTTCAGATGTTTATAAAACCGTTACCAGTGGCTCAATTTTCCTCAAATAAAGTTTTTTTTTATGATACTGAGAGTGAGAATGAGTAGTTTTTTGTGCTATTTTTGGTGTTTTTTATTTATATTCAACTTTGTATTTATCATGTGGTACAGCTACAGCCTACGACTCACGATCCAACGAGCACATGCATAGGCCTAGGAACGTCAGAAAAAAAACTTGTTTGATTGCCAAAAAGGGTTAGCCTAGGGGATTATGACCGGTTGAGCCGCCGACAAGTTGAGCCGCCGGTCATTTCTATGGAACGCCAAGCGCGTCTCTCAGTGAATGTAGTGCGTTAATTGCGGCGTATTTCAATTAAATTATTCGTTCTTGGTACTGTTGTTTGGGATGTATTTCAGTTTATTTACTCAATTATTTCAATATATTTAATACTCGGTTTTTGCACTGATTTATTAAATATTTTTGGGACATATTTCAATTTATTTAATTGTTCTTTCTATCGTTTTAATTTAAATTTTGTGAGTATTTGATCAGTCAGCTTGCCAGATAGTAAAAAAAAAACTCCATACATTCTTATCATTTATTATATATAAGTGTAACAAATAGTAAAAAAATAAATATATATAAATTACAAAACCATAGTAAATACTGTATAATAACATAGGCCTAACACATTTAAATTTATTGTTTATAGTCATATGTCTAATTCAGTCAGCTTGCCAGATAGTAAAAAAAAAACTCCATACATTCTTATCATTTATTATATATAATGATATATAATAAATATAATTTAATTAAATAATTTAACAAAATAGTACAAATAATGAATAAGTTAATTGAAATACGCCGCAAACCAAACATAAAAAATAATCAAGTTATTACATTTTTAATACGATTTTGCATGAATAATAAATAATAAATTTAAATGTGTTAGGCCTATGTTATTATACAGAATTAACTATGGTTTTGTAATTTATATACTTTTTATTTTTGTACTATTTGTTAAATTATATATAATAAATAATTTAATTAAATAATTTAACAAAATAGTACAAATAACGAATAAGTTAATTGAAATACGCCGCAAACTAAACGTAAAAAATAATCAAGTTATTTCATTTTTAATACGATTTTGCATGACTATAAACAATAAATTTAAATGTGTTAGGCCTATGTTATTATACAGTATTTACTATGGTTTTATAATTTATATATTTTTATTTTTGTACTCTTTGTTAAACTTATATAATAAATAATTTAAATAAATAATTTAACAAAATACAGTAGAACCTCGATTTTACGTACGGTACGGGACCAGAGGGCGTACGTAAATCGGGGGATTCGTAAAATAGAGGTTGGGTTAAATTTGTGGTAACCTTTGACCTATACGTACGTAACGCTCAATAAACGTATGTACGAACGAACGATGATACCTAGGCTAGACCTAGCCTCTAGGCCTAGGCCTACGAATAAAGCCATGTGTTTAGTGTTCTTATTCATCACTTTACGATGTCATAATAAAGTGTTCAAATAAAACCATGTGTCTGTGTACAGTATTAATTCATCACTTTATATCTTTTATTTAACTAAAATAAAGAACATGAACATATTGTAAGATTCCTATACGACAAAGGTATAACTTGGGAATTCCCCTTCATGCCTATTCTAAACAACAGAGATGTGGTGTTATCTGGGGCTGTTGAGACAAACTAAACCCATGTGCGCTGCACTGGGCGAGCCAACCAATTAGCGTTCGTGTACGTGAAACAGCAACCATGTGCTATGCACTGGGCGAACCAACCAATTCGTTTCGTGTACGAAACTATGTCTACTCAGCTTCGTGTAGAAAATTCGACCAGACGAGTTCTTCCATGGTTTGCCACACGAAGCTAAGGAGTAAAGCAATAATTTTGAGCACCATCGGTAGTTGTTCATCTCACTCAGTTCACGTGGTTTTAGATTATAACAACCCGGTATTAGACTCAATCAACGTTGCTGTTTAACCCTTTCACTGCCGGCTGTTTATGTGTTAAGCCAACCACAGTGCCAGCTGATTACACTGCCATAATACGCTGTGTGCCAGCTGATTATTTACCAAGGTCAGCTTAAAGCCTAATTTTGATAGTGTGTTATTATTTGTCACATAACTCATAAATTATTGAAAATATGAAAAAATAAATCTAAAAAACTTTGTTCAGCATAGATTTTTACATATACCTATGCTATTTCTTCTACAATTTATAGCCATTTTTTGATTTAAAACTGAAGATGTTTTCTCCTCCATAATTAAAAAATGTTTTGCTATGACTTTGCTTATTTTTACAGAGTTTGAAAGACATTTGGATAGTTCTGAATAAAAGTTGCTGATGTTATTTTTAATACATTATTTTTATAACCAATTATTGGATCCCAAATAAAATATTTTGTCCCATTCTTAATCAGAGAAGTATGCATTTTTTTTTCTTGTTTTCACACACATTTTTTTTAATGAACTCACAGATCCTGAAGATAACTTACTAACATATTATTTTCCTAAGTAACCCACAATTACTAAAATGCAACACAATATAATAC